AATAAAGAACAGATAAACAAAAAAACGTATTTTAAAATACACAAAATAAGCCAAATTAAATTTTTTTTTCTCGAAAGCCGTTGAAGATAGACCACGGGTTTCTTTTAGGAATTTACTTAGATTTACTTGTTAAATCATGTCATCTATTCACCAAAAAATGTCCGCTTCCAAGTGATTTTAAAACACTGTGGGTCGGACTGGCCGACTAGTGGTCCGGGGTACGCGGGTTTAGTCCCCGCTGCCGTTCGACTATTGTGAAGTGCTCACTCGTGATACAAGCATATTTAACTTAGTATGAATGAAAGGGAGTATTTATCTCTAATTATCTTTTTTTTTTTTAAAATAAAAGATCACTTCTGGGCGCGGGACAGCTTGCGCAAAAGCAATGCCTTATATTTTAGAGGCACATCGAGCAAGGGGTATCTTAATGTTCTCTTATGAAATAAGTAATTATGTATGATAGAAAAAGTGAATTCCGTAACAAGTGGGTTAAAGACCAAAACTCTGTCCAGATATCTGAATTCGCGGAAAATAAATCACGTTTGCGGGTGCATGTACCGTCGGCAGACAAATTAACGTCAGAAGCAGAGGAAGACTCAAATATTACTTCGCCACAGACGATACACAATAAAAAGTGGATGTGGTAGACTCGAGAAGGTCGAAGGAAGTACCTGGAAGCAGGCAGTGCAAAAGCGGTCGTCGTGGGAATTGTTGAGGGAGGCGTTTGTCCAGCAAAGGATGTCATTTAATTTTGGCTGAAACGAACGAACGACATAGTCCGTGTATTCCCAAACTTAAGCCTTGGGCAGACCAAACGCGGGGCAGTAGCAGCGCAGTTTGAATGCGGGCAAGTTGTAATACAAGAAACTCTTTGAAGTATGCCATACCAAATTTGAACGCGGGCCCGCGCTTCAACCGCGCCGCACTCCAACTGCCGAAATACAAACGAGGCGGCGCGGGTGCGGGACAGAAGCGGCGCGAACGCGGGCCCACGCTGTTGTATTACTATGGTGGCCATATTAGCATGACACACCGGACGCAGTGCGGTAGCAGCGCGTTGAAAGCGGTTTTCGAATATTTAATTTTTTGACAACCGCTCGCGTTGCAACTGCTTTGAAACTGCGCTGCTTTCAGTGTACCTCAGCCGCGCTGCACTGCTTCTGACCTGCGTTTGGTCTGTGGGAGCCTTTAAGTTGCAGAGGGCGGGGTACATAGCTCGTAGAACTGATGGCCGTTAGGGCAGAAAAGTTCTCGAGTGGTGGTCACAGGCCGGTAGTCGTAGTATGGAGGCCTCCCACTAGGTGGATCTGTCTAGTGAAGGTCACGGGAAGCACCTGGATGCGGGCAGTGCAGGACCGGTCGTTATGGAAATCCTTGGGGGAGGCCTTTGTCCAGCAGTAGACGTCATTTGGATGGTAGACCACCCACGGGGGAATCATTTATCCGTGGACGTCATTTGGCTAAAACGGACGATGGTACACCATGAAAAATTTCACCCGTCAAAAAATCCCCTAATCTAAAGGCAATCTTAGAGACAAGCTACTACATTCTGCTGCACTGTAAGCAGTGCATTTGCCTGCACGAGTTTAATCAGCGTAAATATCACAGTATTAGAGCACCACGACACAGTTCTGTAACATGGTAACATTGTTCTAGTAAATAAATTCCACCTACAATCACCCAATCACCCAGTTCCTAACTTAGATTAGCTTGTCCTACATACACAATATACAGGGTGTCCCAGAATGGGTGAATCAAACTGCTAGGGGATGTAGCTCTAAATACTAATGTACTATCCCTAAAAAATATGAAAAAAAAAATTGAGTTCGGATTTTTTTTTAAATAAAGTGCTCTAAACTCGAAATCTAGTCATTATTTTCAAAAGTTTGTTTACAGATAGACGAAGATCATGTACAATTAATATTAGTAAGAAAAAAGTACAAATAAACTCCAAACGCAGCAAATTTAGCCAGATACTTAGGCAAAGCTGATTTGTTTTCAATTTAAAAATATATTTTTTAGGGATAGTACATTAGTAGAGCTACCTCCCCAAGCAGTTTGATTCACCCATTCTGGGACATCCTGTATAACAGATTGCTTGTTACTTGATTATACAAACGTTGGTAATAGTTTATTATTAGTTTTAGAGAGATTGTTACTGGTATTCAATCTTGTGGGTTTCATTATTAAATGCTAATTTTAGCTGAAAATTTCTCTCACATTCATGAGATTATATTGTAACTTCAATAGTAGCTTTTTTGTGTGTATTACGAAGATTTTTTTAAGGTTTGTTCATTGAAATGCTATCTATTTGTATTGATAATATGATTGTAATATTATTTTACTTTACGTAACACTTCGATAAATGTATTATAGTTCTAATAATATAATTGAATGGTTCACACAATCACACCTATAAAGTCTACCTAATAAGTAGAAAACCTTGGAAATAAATTTGACAGCACACATAGATTTCTTATCTATGTCATAAGTGTAATAAATATTGATATAGATTAGATTAGTTCAGTTCGAAGTTCAGTTCGTACTCCAGTAGTTCTGGTCATATCTTATTTACTTTACTTTTAAAGCCAATGATATTACACGTAATTATCCTACTAATATTATACGAGTAATGCGAAAGTTTGGATGATTGGGTGTCTGGATGTCTGGATGTTTGTTACTCTTTCAAGCAAAAACTACTAAACGGATTTTGTTGAAACTTTACAGTATTATTGTTTGTAACCCAGATTAACATATAGGCTATAATTTATGCCGATCTGTGACATTAAATTTCAAGCGGGTGAAGCCGCGAGAGATATTTTTATTAGTGACGTAATGTACAAGTAAAGTTTTGCTTTTCATAGCAACTTACTAAACAGATACAAATGAATTTACCATAAAAATCAATGGCTTCTCGTGCTCATCTCAGTATTATAATTTGCTCCCGACGGGATTCGAATCCCCAACCGTATTAACGTGGAACATGAACCATTCATGGCATACCGATCCAGATAATGTTGTTCTGGGTAATCCCTCTAACCCCAACGCATTGACCGCATTCCGCCCAGCAGATTGCTTGCCACTCAGATTTAGAGATACATTGTTATGTTAAGTCACGTATTTGGGGGCTTTGGAGCGATAGCACTAATGTTTGACAACACTGCATAATATGAGGACGTCATGTAGGTATCATGAAATCATTAGGTAATGAATAACAAGACCCATTTGAGATGTGCTGCAAATAATACGAACAAAGTATGTATGAATAAAAAAAATATATATTAATGATGAAGTTCGGCTGTGCGTAAACATTTTCACTAACCAACCGGGTTTTCATCACGATATGGGGTATTTTATCTATGTTAAATGTATTTAACCAACTATGTAAAGTTTTATAAGCTGCACTTTAATTCAAAAACTTAAAGGGACTTTTCTAATAAATAATACACAATAAGAAGTTACCTTAAGTATATTAATAAAATAATAATAATAAATATAAATAAAAAAAAAGTATATAAGTAGTATATCCGTTAAGCTAGCACCCATAACACAAGCATTGAGTTGCTTACTTTGGGGCTAGCTGGCGCTGTGTGAAAATGTCCAAAGATTTATTATTATTATTTATTAACACAATATATATATAATTAATAGATATTTTTGTCTAAGTGAATTACTTTGAACGTGATAGCAAAACTCCATTATCAGTTACGTAAATTGATCCAGTGATACCAACAGCTTTGTCACTAGCCAAGAACGCCGCTAGCTCAGCAATCTCACTTGGTTCACTAATTCTTTTCAAAGGAGTTGCTGCTTTGAATGTCTCCCATACTGCTGCTTGAATCTCCGGACTGACTCCCATATTTTCAACGATATCGGTCCTCACCGGCCCAGGGCTAATGTTGTTCACGCGAACACCATGTGGCGCAAAGTCCAGCGTGATCGATCTCGCGAAATGATCCAAAGCAGCTTTTGAGGTGCAGTAAGCGAATCCTTTTTCCATCACCATTTGACCAGCAACGCTTGATATGTTTATTATATTCCCTTTCGTTTCAATAAGATGCTTGGCAGCCAGATTGGTCATGTAGACAGCGGAACGCAGGTTAGTGTTCATGACGTGGTCAAATATTGCCATGGCTCCTGCTTCAGTAATGCTGGCATTGCCACCCACTCCTGCATTGTTGACCAGAACGTCAAGTTTTCCAAAATGTTTTACTGTATCGTTGATGATTCTTTGAGCATCACTTTCTTTGGTAACATCGGCGGTGATCACAAGAGGCTTGTTACCGACCTTCGAGATACTTTCCGTAACATCTTTTAGTTTAGCTGCGTTTCTTCCAACGATGGCAACGTTCGCTCCCTCTCCAGCGAATTTAAGAGCAATAGCTGCCCCGATCCCAGAGCTCGCACCTGTCACTAACGCTACTTTATTGTTGAAACTCATTTTGCTTATGACTATTATTTCTGTGCCGCTGTACTTATTTATACGTTTTCAATTCACAAACACCCACTCTTGACTAGTCATCAGTTAGCTGTCTTATCATATCTACCACATAGATAATGGTATCTGTTTAATAATTAGTATCATTAGCTGATCTAGCAAGATTGTTATATATTGACAATAATATTTCTGAATTTAGTGATTCAGCTGGTAAGCTGGTGTTATTATTAAAATATTGATTTTGTTTTATTTAAAACTAGCTTCTGCCCGCGGCTTTGAACGTCTGATTTTGCCCGCTGGAAGATGTCTTTATCGCGGTTTCCTCGCAGTCATCAATCTGAACTCTTCTGTTATATTGTATAAAAACTTCAAAAAAAGGTAAGTACTTTCATTCGGACAAAAAGAAAATTTCTAGATACGATTAAACAAATGTATCAATCAACTAACAATGATAACAACATTTCATTATCTGACAAGTAATTCGATCCAGTGATGCCAACCGCTTTATCACTAGCCAAAAATGCCGCAATCTCGGCTATCTCTCTAGGCTCACTAATCCTTTTCATAGAGCTGATTCGCGGAATTTCATCGAAGTGGCTTCTTGAAGCTCCGAGCCGGCTCCCATATTCTCAACAATATCAGTCTTCACCGGGCCAAGGCTGATGGTATTCACCCGAACACCATGTGGCGCAAAGTCTAGTGAGATAACTCGTAAAATGCTCCAAACCGGCTTTTGAAGCGCAGTAAGTGAATCCATTCTCCATTGCAAATTGACCAGCAACGCTTCATATATTTATTATGTTCCCTTTGGTTTCAATTAGATTATGTTTACCAGCGCGATTGATGTGAACAGCAGCCAGCATTGTTTACCAGGACGTCAATTTTCCCAAAATTATCTACTATATCGTCGATGATCCTTTGAACATCATTACCTTTGGTCACATCAGCAGCGATTACAAGGGGTTTGTTACCGACTTTAGAGATATTCTCCAAAACGTTTCTCAGTTTGTCTGAGTTTCTTCCTACAATAACAACGTTGGCTCCCTCTTTAGCGAATTTAAGAGCTATGGCTGCTCCAAGCCCGGAGATCGCCTCAGTCTTGATCACAACTTTGTTGTTGAAACTCATCTTGCTCATAATTATTAGTTCTGTGCCTAAGTACTAATTTATATATATACAATCTTCAATTCCAAAAACGCTTAGTCAAGACTTGCATCAGTTAGCCGTTTTATTACAACAGATAGTGGTATCTATTTAAAAATAGAAATGGATTAATAATGAATGCCAACATATTTTCCGGATTCTGTGATCCAAGTGGAAATTATCGATTTGTTTTATTTTACAACTATCTTCTGCCCGTGGCTTCGAACATGTGCACTTTTGGCACAGATAAATATTTAATACTAATTTTCATCATACCGTAGTCCGTACTTTAAGCACGACACAATCAAATATTTCTTATTTCCAGTACTTCAATATTTTTTTCGTCAAAATGTAACTTATTTCCTTATCCAAGTATCAATCTTTCTAATACGAAAACTCAACCAAATATATCGAAAACTCAACTAAAGTCGCTGACATAGCCCGACGGATTAGCAAGCTGAAGTGGCAATGGGCAGGGCACATAGTACGCACAACTGACGGCCGATAGGGCAGCAAGGTTCTGGAATGGAGGCCGCGTACCGGAAAACGCAGCGTGGGACTTCCACCTACAAGGTGGACCGACGACATCGTAAAGGTAGCGGGGAAGCACTGGACGCAGGCCGCTACCAATCGATCAACATGGAAAGCATTGGAGGAGGCCCATGTTCAGCAGTGGACGTCCAATGGCTGAAATGATGATGATGATGAACCAAATGTGTCAGCATTTGAGACGTGAAAACATTAGGCAATATACTTATTTCTAATATTAGTAAGTGTAGTTCATTCCCATGTCACATTTTAGTACTCGGAAAACTACAATATCGAGTCACAGACGAACTACTCGTAATATTACTATTTCCCATCTCTTTCTTACTCACAATTTGCGCCCAAAAGGTGAACTCATTATTTCTCTCTCCAATTTGACTTTGATGCCTGCTCAAAACTTGGAGAGTCTCCAAACAATTTCTCTTTATTCGTATGTAAAAAGTAATATCTTGTCTGACGAACGAAAAAATACAAAATGTACCTGAATGTTTTTGTAGGTAACTAACGCCCGTATTCACAAACGATACTTGCTTAAGTGAAGCAGCGAATTGAATGCACAGCATTGAATAGAGCACTGTGATTGGTTCGTGTGTCACCCTGTGCGTCCACGCGCACTGTGAGACCTCATAGTAATGTTTGTGAATACGGGCGTAAGACACACGATCGTATAAGAAATGGTTTTATTTTCTTTTCGTCGTGCAGCCTTCTCATAATAATATTGAATCTTTGCTTTGAAATAGGTAAGTATTTGAATTAATTTTAGTCAGACATAAACATCATGAATCAACGAGTAAAATGAGATTCAAGATCTGAGGAAAAATACAGGTTCTCAAGGATAGGGCTTCCGCTGCCCTACCTTAGTTCCTCCGAAAAATAATATACTGTTAACCTAGAGACTAATAAAATTATCCCGAATTTGATGTCATTAGTATGCTTTGAGCCTCATAAATTCAGTTTTCTTTTCGCAATTCTTTATATTAAAGATAATTTTATGTTAAACTATCTAAATCTATTTAGGCCCGATTCGACCAAACTTTTATCCGAGAATAACTCCTGGTAAAACTGGCATATTGACAGTTTCAGTATGGGAAATATGTCAAAACTAACGATTTATTCTGAGATTAATGCCATGCCGAATACGTGTCTAGATATTCTCTTATCTGATATAGGTAGATAGAATGATGACGAAGTGTTTTTCAATATAATAGCAAAGCAATCCTTATAAACATTTACTTAGTAGAGAAAAAAGCAAACACCACATTGATCCTGCGTTTTAAAAAACATAGCAATTCTTACAAAGATATTTTTGAAGGACATAAAACTGATATAGAGGCAGATAAGACGATGACGATGGGTTTTGAAAACCATTGCAAAGTAATTCTTATAAACGTTTACTTAAAAGCAGATTCGATAATGACGTTACGTATTAAAAACTATATTGCAATACTTTCAAACGTATATTTTGATACTCATAAAACTGATAATGACGTTGAGGATTCATTTCTAAATCAATTAGGTACAAAGCAATTCTTAAAAATCATCACTATCAGGTCATTGTCTACTCTACAGGACCACACCCCTCTTTAATTTAATATAGGTAAACTGAGAATTAACAAATTGAAAGCCCCTAGATAAGTGGCAAAACGCGATGGTTGTAATTTCGAAATCCCCTCACGAAGTGAAGTCACATTAAAAAAAAATCCAGAGCGAAAGGATTTTGAAATTTTAGATCCGTCACGAACTCCTAGCCAAACGGATTGAGGAAGCAAAAATCTTCCCAAGTATTTTTTTAAATAACCTGTTTTTCTGGAGTCATGTCAGCTTTTATGCTTTTTCCCTGCTCTTGCCTATTCAATTTTCTTTGTCACTACGTAATTTGTCAAAGAGAGGTAATTGCAATGAGAAATTGCGGAAGATCTCGTTTCTTCTGTCCTGTAATTTGGCAGAAAGAGACACGGATATTGGCTGCCTAACTTAGCGCAATAATTACTCCATTGAAGTCCATACCTACTTTTGTATAGTCATTTGTGCATCAGAATACGTAATATTTTTGTTTCAAAATCTCGTCTATTGCAACTACATAAGAACCTACAGTGCTGTTTACAAACTTAATCAGGTACCTATTATTCTTCTAATTAATTTTGTACAATCTTCGTTCGTTCGTTTCAGCCAAATGACGTCCACTGTTGGACAAAGGCCTCCCCCAAGGTTTTCCACAATGAACGGTTCCGCGACCTTTACCAGATCGTCGGTCCACCTAGTAGGAGGCCTGCCCACGCTACGTCTTCCAGCACGTGGTCGCCACTAGAGAACTTTTCTGCCCCAACGGCCATCGTCTCTACGAGCTATGTGCCCCGCCCACTGCCACTTGATTTTAGCAATTTATTCTGCGAGCTATATCGGTCACCTTGGTTCTCCTGAATAATCTAATACAGCTTAATTTTTCATCGAAAAGGCGAAATCCATGTGTTGGAAAGAGTAACACTTCCTCATTACCTCGTGGCCTTGTGGTAATGAAAATTTTTCTATTTATATCATAGAAATAATGTAATTAAAATCTTATATTCTTAGCTAAATATGTTTTTCGTTACTCGTGTCGATTAATTAACTCATAATCAGAATCGAAAAATTTCCGAGCAATAATCGTAAGGAAATTGGTTTTCAAATAACACACAAAAGATTGAGTTTCTATTATTAAACATCATAAGGCCTCCTATAAGAATACAAGTATAATTGAAATAAATTCAGTAGTACTTCTATTTTACCTAGAAAAAATGTCTTAGACCCGAAAAGTAAAAATGATTGTTAAATCTTTTTCTATTGAGTGAATTAAGACATCTGAGGTCACAAAATATTAGTAAACCTAGTACAAAACGTCATGAGACGCCTTAGGAACTTAATTCATTATTTCAGACAACTATTCAAGTGTGCAACGACCCAAACGAGACGAGAAACTAAGGCTGGGTTGCACCATCTTACTTTAACTTTGACAAACGTCAAAAATCTGACAAAATCCATACAAAAAGCACAGGTTATTGTCAAAGTTACGGTCAAAGTTGGGTGGTGCAACCCAGCCTAAGTATAATTAATTATTTGAGACCCTCGTACTAAAATTTTAGAGGGCAGGCCTCCTACTAGGTGGGCCGACGATCTGGTAAAGGGAAGAGCCTGGATGCGGGCAGCGCAGGACCGTTCATTGTGGAAAACCTTGGGGGGCCTTTGTCCAGCAGTGGACGTCATTTGGCTGAAACTAACGAACGAACGAACTAAAATTTAAACTCTACTTGAACTGTAGTTTAACATTTACTATGGAAATGTCATTTCAAACCAGTGTTCATCCAAGGCTTAAAATGTAACTCAAGTTGATACGCGCCTCCGACTCAAGATAGCTATGTAATAAACATGATATTGAAGTTGGACCTCGTAAGCCTTTTGGATCTATCCCAATTATGTCACAACATTCCCTTAAATGTTATCAAGCATTTTCCGTCTATTGTGTGAACACCATTCAATTGGCAACCAAGCCCGAAAGCTCTTTAATTTGGTCGTATTAGACTACACCAATTATTTTTATTTGACTATCGACATGTTTTCAAGTAAATGAAGTAATTACGGCCAAATGTAAGATAGGTAATAAATAAACGATATGTTTTTTGAATTTTCAGTGCTTTTAAACGTTTGGAATCGGATTGTTGACTTTGCTTTGGAGTTGTTAACGTAATTAAATATTTTACAGTGAAGGGTTCTAAGGGCTAACTAACGCAAAGAAAATTACTGATTTTCAATATTGTATCAAGTTATCCTGAATCCTTAATATTTACTAACTAAAAGCATACAAAAACTATTTATTGATGAGTCGTTATTTGATAGAGACTGGAACTTTGTTTAAAAATTAAGTCAACAATCTTAACACAAATCAACTATTTGACTTGCAAATTATAATACCTTCAATCAACAACGATACCACGTGACCTCTGTTATGTAAAACGCCCGAACTTTATTAATTATAATTTTAATAAAACTTCTTACTATCGTAGAGATCTGTTGTTTCCCGTTTTATGATTTCGGCGCGGACAAGTTTGCCAGTAAAGTTTCCGTGATATCACCCTACGGGATCAAAAGACCTCGTACCAGGGTTACGAGGTATATAATGAAGAGCTATAAGTACAGTATACACAGTTATGATGAGCAAGCGCATGTTGATGGTGGCAAGGTATTGCTTAAGTTCTAGGTCAAAAGGTTATAGTTTTAAAGTCTTGGGATAAGCTTGCGTTCAGTAGAGCCGATGATAGTTCTCAAAGGTGCGCTTAAGTTTTTCGCTTAGTTAAATCGAGTAATGATGATGAAGATGAGATTATGAATCTTCCATTTTTTGACTAAAATTGTCTGTCTGTCACCAAAATGGAAGGTCATTTATACCCGACTGCGCCAGAGGAGGG